CCACAGCCCCGCACCTCCACAACCCCATAAACCCACACTTCCACAACCCCACAACCCCGCACCTCCACAACCCCAAAATCCCGCACCTCCACAACCCCGCACTCCACAACCCCGCACCTCCACCATCCCGCACCTGCATAACCCCACAACCCCGCACCTCCACAACCCCACAACCCCGCACCTCCACCACCCCGCACCTCCACAACCCCACAAGCCCGCACCCCGCAGCCGCACGCCGCTCTCCCGCAGGACGCGGTGCTGCTGGTGCAGGAGTCGAAGCCCCGCTGCCGCGGGCTGTGGTACCTCCCTGCGGGACGCGTGGAGCCGCACGAGAGCCTGGCGGCGGCGCTCCGCCGGGAGGTGCGGGAGGAGGCGGGGCTGCAGTGCGAGCCGCTGACGCTGCTGGCGCTGGAGGAGCGCGGCCCCATGTGGGTGCGGTTCGTCTTCCTGGCCCGGCACACGGGTGAGCGGGGCGGGGGGGGATGGAGGGGGGTTTGGGGGGGTTTGGGGGGGTCTGTGGGGTGGGCAGCGCCGGGATGCGGGTGGGAGTTGTCTGCTGGCAGCCGTATGGGAAGCATAGGGGTATCTGTGTGCCTTGGCTTTGTGATGGGGTATCATCCCTTACGGCCCTACAGTGGGGCATCCGTCCCTAAAGCCCTACAGTGGGGTATCCATCCCTAAAGCCCTACAGTGGGCATCCATCCCTATAGTCCTATAGTGGGCATCCGTCCCTAAAGCCCTATAGTGGGGTATCCATCCCTATAGTCCTATAGTGGGCATCCATCCCTAAAGCCCTACAGTGGGGCATCCGTCCCTATAGTCCTATAGTGGGTATCCATCCCTAAAACCCTACAGTGGGGCATCCATCCCTATAGTCCTATAGTGGGCATCCATCCCTATAGTCCTATAGTGGGTATCCATCCCTAAAGCCCTACAAGGGTGTATCCATCCCTATAGTTCTATAGTGGGGTATCCATCCCTAAAGCCCTACAGTGGGGCATCCATCCCTATAGTCCTATAGTGGGGTATCCATCCCTAAAGCCCTACAATGGGGTATCCATCCCTATAGTCCTATAGTGGGGTATCCATCCCTAAAGCCCTATAGTGGGGCATCCATCCCTACCTACAGTGGGGTATCCATCCCTAAAACCCTACAGGGGGGCATCCATCCCTATAGTCCTATAGTGGGTATCCATCCCTAAAGCCCTACAAGGGTGTATCCATCCCTATAGTTCTACAGTGGGGTATCCATCCCTTATGGCCCTACAATGGGGCATCCATCCCTATAGTCCTATAGTGGGCATCCATCCCTAGAGCCCTACAGTGGGGTATCCATCCCTATAGTCCTATAGTGGGGTATCCATCCCTAAAGCCCTACAAGGGTGTATCCATCCCTTATAGCCCTATAGTGGGGTATCCAACCCTTATGGCCCTACAGTGGGGTATCATCAATTACAGCCCTACAGTGGGGCATCCATCCCTTATAGCCCTACAATAGGGTGTCCGTGTGCCTTACAGCCCTATAGTGGGTGCTGGCATCCCTTACTGCCCTACTATGGGGTATCCGTGCCCCTCACAGCCCCATGGCTCGGTATCAGTGCCCAGATGCACTCTAAAAAGATGGCAGCCATCCCGTCCCATCCCATCCCATCCCACCCCATCCCATCCAATCCCACCCCACCCCACCCCACCCCATCCCATCCCAGGACATTGTGGTCCCCTGTCCAT